ACTAATTCGGTAATCATAACGGCAACGAGACTTTAATTATTAGGTTCACAAAAACTAAATACTGAGAGGTCTGATATCCACCTCACAGGCTTGCCCTTAATTTCAGGGTGTTTCAATTTTGTTTATAGCCACACCACTCTCGTCTGAACGGCCGTGTTCTTGTTCCGGCGTAATATTCCGGTAAGTCCACACCAAAGGGAAATACTGGACTCGAGTTTCGCTCTTATTAGAGCTCATCAGCAGTGCATATCCAATGGCCGTGCCGGGATTAGAACCCCAGACATCTGACATGCGAGGCCAGCGTGTAGCCACTACTCCACCAACGCACGTTGGACGCATCTGAATTTCAATTTATTTTCAGTACCATTGATATATCGACAGCTTGTAGTCAAACCGTCTAGTGTTCAACCACTGACTGTAGGGTCGGGAGTGTGAAACCCTCTGATTCCATCCCAAGTGCACTGATGATGAATGATAAAGAGGATACGGGTGTTGTACAGTGCCTCTTGGAATTTTAGCATCAATTGACTTTACTTGAAGGACGAAATCTCGGTTTAAGTTTGCAAAATCTCCTCACATAAGCACGCTTTGTTGAGTTGGTATTTCTCACTTTTGTAACCGACTGGGAGTGAAAAGCTGCACTTTCATGCCTCGCAGTGGAATATTACATAAGAGGTCGTCTTGCAAAATAGACTTCTTTTAAGTGGCTTCTCCAAGTCTTGAGTGAGATAATAGTGAAATCGCTTCACTATCACTGGTCATTAAGATCGTAAGTTTTGTTGCACATACTTTACAACGCAAGGTTTGGTTGCCTATTACAAAACGTTACCCTCAAAAGTGAATCTTTTATTTTCACAGGTCCAATTGGAATCACCTCGATTGTGATCGGGGTTTGCTTTTTTGTGATCGCCATCTTCAGTTTTGTTGGCGTCTGCTGCCGTGTCAAAGCAATGCTCATAATCGTGAGTTCAGTCGGTGTTCTAAGTCGGATAAAATGACCCTGCGTAGATGTTTCATTGATGGAAAGGAGAAAAAAAATCCGAACTCATGATCGGCTTGACCCAGATGAATAAATGTCTAATTGACTGGGGAGACTGACAGAAGATAAATTTATCAATCTGTCATATTTGATATGCAAAACTCAGAAGTATCCCTCATTGTCAAAAGGCCAGAGAAAACTGTTCACTTTTCAGCAATGTCATTTTCGAAGTGTCCTTGTACGATTCTCTTCAGGTGGATAAACTTTAAGCCTAAACTGCGTGACGCGTCGCGTCCTTGGATGTGCAGGTCTTTGAAACCAATCATAGAAACGAATGTGAACTGAATAAAACGGTAAAGATTGAATCGGAGTTTAAATGAGGTTTACATAAATAACCAAATACTTGACTGAAAATCTAGGCAAAAAATTCCCTTTGTAACTTTGAAGATCGTAAATTAATTTGAAATCCATTCATTATCAGTAATATGACCATGACAATTAAATTTCCTCGGTAATCTCAAGTGAACCAGCTAAAAATTTCATTCTATATACGGCTTGATTTGAGCTTGGACCAATTTTTTCACACTGATGATTTTGAGATAACTGGAATTCTGCTGAGTGAAACAGAGTATTCCACTACGGTTCAACCGCCAAATTCGACATATCTTCGTGAAAAGTACGAGTGCCAGGAATTCGCCACAACTATGCCAGAGAAATTTGCTGATGTATTTTCTCGAAAGTTGCTTCCTAGAGATCGCTTGGCAGAATATTTCGTCTGGTATGCTATATCAGTATATATCAGTACCCTTCGCCTTGCAGGTGGCTGTGAACTCACTTTCCTTTATCGGCCAAAATTAAAATGAGCGAACGTCAAATTTTTAGGGTAGCATAAAGGCTCTCACATGTTTGGTAGTGTGACGTATCAGTACTATATATTTGACAGAATTGCGTTGAGGAAATCAAAGCCACTATCGATCGGATCCATCACAAACAGTGGTTGAATAGCACACTGATGGCGAAGTTGATCGAAAAAGATTATAGAATTCATTTTTTAGGGATATTCCACTGGGTCTGTGATTTCAGCTCGGAATGCATTTGTCTCGGTCTCTTGGCAGACGTTCCATTATTCGCTGTAAGTGACAATAAAACGCGATGCTGGAAGAACATCCTTAGAAGATTCCAGAAAATCAAATCAGTTCAACTTGAATTAATAAGAACCCAAATAGTATGCTACAATTTTTATGAATTACGGGTCGGAAATCTTTGGATTAGTGCTGAGCTTTTGGTGGTCTGGAAAATTTTCGTCATAAAGCTCTCATTGTATAAAAACAAATTTGTCATTTGTGGAAAACACTAATAGGCACTGTACAAAGCTTGATGAGTTAGAGGAAAACACTGTTGGCGAAATACACTCATTTGCAAAATAATTGGGTTTTTCCAGAGACTCACCTGGAAGACTCACCTGAACCCAGCCGAAACCTCCGTTTGTGACGTTTTCAAGCGACTGATTTTGTTGTACCAGGCCGCCTCATGTTTCAGTCGCTGTTGGTTTCTCAGGCTAACGTAGACGGAGATAAAAACGGCCTCACTGTTATAGCTCAACGTTACACTGGAATGATATTGCTTACTACTGTAAGTTCAAAGAAGGTCAGAGAACGCGTACTTAAGGACATGGGTGTACTGAGTACACGCGGCCGAGCAGTTTCGCCTTGTAACGGGTAAGCAAATAAATGAGTCTCATGTACGGTCATCCCACAGACAGTTCTCTGATGATGGATGGATAGACACACAGGCGTGTCAACCAATGGGACACGCATCCAATCAGCCACTAGAGTCACAGGTCAGGTCGGTGGATGATTGACGAACGGACACGCACACTCTGACAAATCGAACCGGTTACTACAGTCCTCCACCGCTAGACTTAGCCAACTCCAGCTTGGTAGTTATTGATGCCTTGCATGAGGCCTTTCGAGATTCCGATGTGGACTTTGATTCACGATCTCACATTTCTAGCTAAGTTCACAGAGCTAGCTGGTACTAACTGCAATGAATTTTACCAATATCTTTGTTTCAGTACGCATGTATCGTCGGTTTCATTGCTTTGGCCCATTGCGTCTTAATAGTTACACATTTCGCGGACGAAGACCTCGTGAGCTGAGTTTCTTATTTTCTCGCTTCTATGCATTCATATTTTTAATTGACGTTTTGATGTTATACCCAAACCACGTGGCTGTAGAGTGAACACCACTCTTTTGTTAGCCGTCTACGTGAGGTCCACTGTCTGAATATACCACTTCAATGCTATGCAAGCTATTGCGATTGGCAGAAACACCGATCCACCACCAGGCTCCCTAAAAAAGCACTGATGATATCATTTCGATTGGTGAATGCATCTCGATTGCAAATAAATTGAACAAAGCAACAACCATGCTGTTTCCATGGTTTCGTAGGACATCATCGATGTGTGCACCCGATCCACGGAATATAATGCAGTTAGGCTGCGCAAGTAGGACAAAGTACGTTAGCTCTCACGGAGAAGGGAGGACTCGAAAAATTGCTGCAATCGCTTCGAAAGCCCACGATTGGTTTCGCTCGTCTTTGAGCTCGTCAGGTAGGCGTAAACACAAAAATGGGAGAGATTCAGCTGAGATACAGGCGAGAGCTGAGAACTGGACTGTTTCGCAAACAGGTTTTCCACTAAATGCGCCCGATACGTGAATACTCTGGAATAACAGAGTTATTTTCGTGGGAATTTTGTGCTAAAATTTTGTGTTAAAACTTTCAAAATGCTGTGTTTTTAAAAAGATTTTCGTTGAATGTTCTTAAAATAATGCTAACAAGACCAAAGAAGCGGTGTGAGATCGATTCACTTCAAATGTCTTTGGGGGCCATGTTGAGAACTTTTGAAGCGCAGAGGACGGCGCTTCAAGTCTCCCTCTCCCACCCTTAAACCGGTGTGTCTAATCCAGGTGCCATCTTAAGACAGACAAAGAGAGTAAAACAGGGTTGATCGAGGACACAAACCTATTGAAGAGGGCCCGTGGGCTGACAACTTGTGGCTTTGCATAACAGGAAATGATTTTTCCATAAAGCCAATTCCGAAAATTGCAGGTGAACAATTCATAGTTGCAAGTACACCGATTCACCTGCACATCTTTTCAAAAATACCTGGAGGTGGCAGTCTTGTTGAACATGATGCTTATGCGGGGTAGATGATGATCTGAAGCGGAAGGAATGCAGGGCGGAGTGAAGCTTGATTTCCAACGTAACGGTTAACTCAAGAGGCATGCAACGTTTGGCCTTCCTGTCGGGTGACACTGTGTTGGTAAAGATGGACCTTAGAAACGAAACGCAAATGATACTCTAGGGGATATGTTCCTACGATGAAATATCTGTTCTCGTGGCATCATCAATAAGGTGGCAATATGTGACATTGAATACTTGGATGATATGAGAGCTCTACAAATAAGAGTCCATACATGTTTTAATCGACAAAATTTGTGACAAACGTTTCGCCTCATTTTAGCAGCCAATTTTCTTTCTTTCACTGTCATCAGATTCCTTATAAAAAGGAGATTTTACTGAACTTCATGTTTCAGACTGTTCATATATGTGGTAGTCGAGGGGTCTGTATGGCGTGGGTTTGGACGTAGAATACAAATTTCCTGCGTTCGCAGGCTAAAGAAATGTTTTGTGCTTGTTGCGCATATTCACCACTAATGAAAATGCTGTTCTCTGGATTGTTAGTGTAAACGGAATCATGAGCATCAAACAAAACTACCGCGCTCACCGGCCGAAACGATCTCGATGTGATCTAGGTTACAAATCTCCTACCTTCGACTCTTTCAGTAACAAAATCTTTCAGGGAAGGCTATCTAACATTCGTTTCTCGTCGAAAGCAAATATCTATTCGAAGCAGACGTTCGGCGGTTGACCTTTCCCTGTTAAGTGAGGTTCTATCCTTGATACAACTGTTGCCTTGCAACCCGAAGTATTCACCGATTGGCTCTTTTCTGTTCAGTATCTAAGGAAAATCAATAAAGAAATACATGACCTGACGAAATACTACAAATCAATCGAAAGTGGTGAAGCGTTCAGCGTCACGTTCGGAATGATAATGACAATGGTGAGTCACGCAAACGAGACAAAAATTTGTTTTTGTTCCACAGTTTCAAACAATTTTGTAACCTGTCTTCTACCAAGGACAGTTTCGGACACCATTTGTGGTGTGGATTACGAAACAAGAAACAGTGTTCATGGAAATTTTTGGTTTTCAACGGGAAAATAAGAGCATGTCATCTTACTTGCTGATTTATTCCGTATTATCAATCAGCTGCTGGAATTTGTAGTGCCCTGTAAGAAAGAAACAACCACTTTGGTGCATTGTTATGAGGCGTCTAACGACAGCGTATTGGCCAACCCGACGGTTAAAGTAAACGGAGACATGTCCACTGTTGCTTGCCTATTTGTCCGTCTCGTCCGAGTGGATAAGACGGTGGAGTTGACCCCAGAACGGATGCTTTCAGAAAGGTTGCTAGTTTAAACGCCCAGGTTTTTGTAGTCCAATAAATCCAATTTTGCTGATGATTATATCATATTTTTAACTTTCTTTGGATCGCTGGACCATTAATTAATCGAAGATCCGTTGCAAATGGTCAACTTGTCGTTCGAGAACGTTTTAATACTTACCGACTCAAATCAGTAGTACAAAAATTCAATAGAATTACGAGAATACGTTATGTTTCTAGCGGCCTACGAACTCACCCTGCGGAGATCGACCGAATGGCTGAGTATGCCTTGTGTCAGATTTATAAAACGGTGTCGAAACGTTTGATAACCTGGCTTCTAAACAGAAAAATTGCGTCTTCCTCCCAACAATGTGTTTGTCTTTTCTTTTCGCACAATCCAAACATCATCCTCCCCTTCGTTCTGCTCCAGTTTGATTGCTGCGGATATAACAATGGAACGGATTTTCTTGCGACGGGTGCACAGTTCACACACAGAGACTCATACGGAGGGCACAATTTTCCACGTAAGTAATTGGTGTCCGCCTAATTTTCCGGACCATTTTGGTAGTCTTTTTTTACTGCTCCCCTTGATGCTTTTGAAACTCTTCTCATTGATTTAGTTTGTTTTTTGTTGGCAGGATCACACGATCAATTCTGTGCTATTTGGTTTCAAGTAAAACATAAGGTTGACGGAAACCCGGGAACTGCGCCTACCTGAAGAGCCCCAAAAAGGGCGAAACCGATCGTGGGCTGTCGACGGATTTTCAGCACAGCAACCTTTAGTACATTACAAAGAAAATATGATGTACTTATGTGAGAACGAAAGTTGTTACTTTCCGCTCCCGTTTGATCTCTGCCCAATAGTGTTTCAGGAGTTACGCAAGGTTGTTTTTAGTTCAGAACAGTGCAATATCTCTCGGGAATTCTCATGTGTCTCCGAAAAATGTAATGCGTATAATAAGTAGTTTGCGCGGAGTTTCAGAGTGACGTTTGACCGTCCATTGTGATAAAATCGCCTGATCAAACTTTACTTAGAATTTCAACCAGTGTTTGGGGGTAACAAGCGTATCTTACGGGGTTCCGCTTACACATCTACCACCTTCAGGTTACTCATACGTAGGACCCTCACTTTAAACTTATCCATGATAACTGCTGACGTGGTATCTCACCAGGCCTTTTTAACTAGTCCATCGATAAAGGTGATTTCCGCTTCAACGTATTGGGCAAGACCCGGTGGCAACAATGCTTCGTTTGTTTGCGTTAGGATTACCAAAATCCAACAGTGTTTTTATTCGCTCTTGTGTGACCTTGAACATAAAACTGCATGTGGCTGTGCCACAAGGTATTGAGTACAACATCATCCGGTCGGGGGTAGACTCGCTGTACTACGTTTTCTGCTCCATAGCTTACTGAAGCAGAAAAAGCTTCGGAGGAATGAGCCACAGCGAGCCATCAGTTTAAATGTGACGACCACATATTCAAACCGAGAGTTGATGGACCATTTTGGGCGTTTATCCAGACGACCACGAAAACAGATTAATCCGAGCTGTACAAAAAAACCAATATACACAAAAATCCTGTTAAAACTGAACCCCAAGACAAATGCGCTAATGTTTGCGACAGAAGTCAATAAAAAAAGAAATACGGCTGTTTGCGTTGATTGGAAAGCTAATAATGATCAAAGTGATAAGCTTAGTTACTCAGCGTTTACTGCTGGTTTGACGGAGTATGTCGGGGCCTCATGCGATTTGATATCCATAAATTGTTATGAACCCTTCGGATGAGTATTTGAAGATGTATGCTTTTTACATCGTCATCCAGTATTCCGTGAAATGTCATTTTGACGACAAAGGAGGATAGTTAATGCACTAGCGGATGAATGAATCCAAACAGTGGAGTATATTAGCGACTGTCGGTCGATAGGCAATCCCCAGAACGTCTTCACCCGTACTCAGCTAGCGATTCGCTACGGGGTTATCTTGTATCTGATTTTGTACCCGGTCAACTTAAGAGACAGCGCAAGCAACGATAGCCTCATGTAAGCATTATTCACCTGCCATGTACCATCTCTCCTTTCGACTTTCGACGGTTTGAATCAAATGTTGTGGTGTTACATTATGTAACCGCTAAAAAGGACAAGTAAGAAAGCACAAGTACAGTGCTACCACAAAACTTGCTTTTAAAAAATCTGATTCCCTATGACGTTTTCCGTGACAAAATTTACGAGCAATGATTTGTTAATTGTATAACGGCATAGTGTGTGATGCTGTGCGGCGCGAATAACTGCTTTAATTTCTATTTTGTTTTTTAGTAATCCCGTATCCTGCACCTTGCTGCAAGAAGGGACACATTGGAGAGGGTGCACTAGAATGTCCTCAAATGTTCACGGAATTAAACAGCAACTATCTCAGAGGTTGTAACAAGGGACTGCATCATAGTTTGAAGAAACCGGTCATGTTGATTGCTCTGGGTTCCTTGGTGATTCCCATCGTCGCGGTGAGCGGATAACTTATTTGTTTGTCGATGCGTCGACCCACGTTTGCAGGTAATGTGCATCTGCTTATCGATTCTTGTCAAGTGGATCGTCCCCAAGTTGTGCATATGAGTTTCTTGTAGTAAAAGTGAGCGAAAATCTTGGCTACTGGAAGAAACCGTGTTCGGTGGTGCCCACAACGTCAGTTGGGAATCACAAGTTACTTTCACCAGTAGCGAAATACCGTAAAACAATTTGCCCCTGCAGTATGACTCAAATTCTAGGAGGATCCATTTCCAGATTACGTCGATCAATACTTTTTGTTTAAATACGGTTCTTTTTGGCGGCCCAAATGAATAATAATCAACTAAGTAACTAATTAACTAACTAACCAAATAAATAAATAAATAGAATAGAATAAATAATAAAATAAACGGAAGCCTGGATACAGTGAAGAAGACAAACGCGGTCTACAAACTTGTTACTAGAATACTCGAGCAATGGCTTGCCAGCAGAAAAGATGGCCCAAATGCACTTGTCTCAATCTGCGAAGACGGAGAAGGACACAAGTTCCGTTGGAACAATGTCCAAATACTTGCACACTGAAGAACAAAACAGGAGCGAGAGTTTGCGGAGGCGTGGTACTCCACACCAAAATCGATCAATAAACACATCGACATTGACCCAGTCCATTGGCCGCTACGGGCAAAAGATCTACGCAGTCAAGGGACTTTGAGTCACATGGGAAATCAAGAAACCTAACAAAAACCAACGGACCAAAAGGGTTAAAGGAAAAAAACTACTAGAAACAGAAGACCACTGAATCAACCAATCGAAGGAACCAATTCAGACTGATAAGGAGGATGAAAACGACCGAATCACAACGGAACAATCACACACAGAACTGTCGCACTGAATGCGCCCAACAAACCAGTCAGACACAGGAGATTGAAAGCAACTCAGATTTACTGGGGACCAATCAAAATACGTGAAGTCAGCTCCCGACCGCTAGCAGATGCTGTTTAGAGGCCATTTAAGCACCGGTAAAAGAAGAAGAATTTACCCACTCAACTTCGCACTGACGATGTCGCCTCGGTTGGTGATGAAACGTTCGGAATCCAACTGCATACTGTGCGAACGGACCTAACGGAACCTAAATTACACCGATTCAGAAAGAGTGGCGTCTCCGGTGAACCCTTGGTATTCGACGGCTGTTGCGAGAATCACGAGTTTCTCACGCTACGCATTAAAATTTTCTTGGGCCAATCTACGCACTGTAGTTGTCGATAACGCATCATGACTCTGCCAGAGACAGCTTGTTGTAACATCCAATTCGGACTTGTAACCTCGAAAACATCTGGGAAGGTTCAACTCAGCGGTTGTAAAATAAATTACCAGACACTTCAATTTGTAAACTTGGTAGATTAGTTGCTCTGCAGCTTTCGTCATTAAATCATAGGCCAAAGTTTTTCACACTGAACTTTCAGGCAAATTGTCTACAGACGGCTTCTTTAAAATCCAGTGAAATGTTTTGTCTACAAACCGGTATAAGGAATTCTAGCCACTTACCCGTTTCATTCACTGAAACTCAGCGCAAAGGTTCAACAGCATTCACATCAGTTGGATAATGCATGACTATCACTCATCATCAGTGATAATCATTATTTAGGCTTACTTAAGTCGTCTGAGGTTTTCAGAATGTTCCGACAGGTGGTCAGGTGGGTGGCGAATAAATCCTTTGAAAGTGGGCGAAGAAATCCGCCGTGCTTCAGACTGGGTTGTAAGTACTCAAAATAAGCCCAAGTGGCTTTATTTTTGTTTTTAGTATTTTAAATGTTTCAGCAAACTGACACAGATGCACGCGCGAAGCTCACACACCCACCAGTTCATGAGGTTAATGTAGTAAATCTGCTATGTTCCATTTGCCCTGTTGGCTTTTTCATCTCCTGGAATTCCGTCACCGCAGTGTTTTTTAATGTGTCTAAAACAATGTTCGATCGGAGGACAAAAGATCGGGGAGAATACTGATTTGACGGTGCACTTCCGCCTATGTTTGTTATCAAGTGGCTTCTCCGAATCGGACCTAATGTACGCCTGCCATGTCGACATCCTTGATTCTGCGGCCGCACGTGAAAACCGGGCTTGTTACCAAATGTTTAGTCTTCAAAGCAAATAACAAGCACCATTTACTCGCAAACTGTTTCAAGGAGGAATTCATACGGCAGTAGACATTCACATCCGAAAGAATATCGGGTCAGGAATGCGTTTTATTTCTAAAAAAAAGTCCGCTTTGCAAAGGGTTGGAAGACTGCATATTGGAGGTTTTCAGTGAGATTAAACGCACGATAAACACAAAGGAATCTTGGGATATGCCGCAAAAACTGAAGAATGGACAGTGTTTGAATATATCAAGATTATCGGGTGATAGAAAAGTTTGTAATAATGCGGTTCTTCAAAATTGACGAACAGAAGTCTGAGTAAACTTTCGAGACATGCGCCTACAAATAAAATGTAACAGAACGTATTTCGGGTGGACCAAGAAATCTTGAGGCTAACTGAAAATATGAGTAGGATCTCCAAAAGACAGCGACGTAACATTGCTCGTTCTATTAGCGGAACTGTGAGTTTTTCTGCAGAAATTTCGGTCAAAGTAAACAAGTTAGTGGGCCTTCGAATTCCCACTAGATTATTACACGTAGGCAAGCTTCGCGTAGAATATAACAGCGGTATACCGTGACGAAGGGCCTCTAGAACCGAGGACGCTGGGAGGGGGTGTAAGATGTAAACAAATTTGATATCTCATATGGAAAAATGAATCTTTTAAAAACATACTGGGAATCGGGTGTGAGCGACTGGTGGCTAGGTCGAAATGATGGCCCAGGTAGTTAGAGTGCGAAATTAGTGACAAGAAGGTCCGCGGTTCCAACCCGATCTCTGCCTCTCGACTTCCTCTGTCTAGACGTGGGCAACCTGGCAGTATCCCAGCCCTTGTGCATCCTTTGAATGATGTGGCAGCTAGGCACCTGAGGGGTGTTGGAGCTGAACGACTGGTGGACGGTTTCAGATTCCGCAAAATCAGGGAGAGTTTATGAAAAATCAGTCACTGATTCAACCCGCTCCACTCAGTTGCGTCAAAAGAGCCTCAAGAAACAATGTCTTTTTAGCGGGTGTGCACTTTGTTGGTGACTAAACATGCCAGCTTCTAATTTAATACGAGATCGATATTTGAGCCTAATGAGTTGGGATCATTAAACGCCTGAGGGCATTCATGAACAAAGGGCATGGGAAGAAGTGCGTGTCGGAGCATTTCCTAGCCAGGCTTTGTTGGAGTAGCTCCCATCCATTTTATCAATTTTCAGGATTCCTGAAAGTAACCTCAGAACACCCGGAACCTACTGCTCCACCAAAATCCCAACAGGAAATCCAGCAAGCATCCAGGCCAGTCAATCATTCGATCAATTCAGCAAAAGCTGATGAGTGTTCTTGCACGCCACAGAAGCACGACCGAATGTGATCTGCGTTCAGGCATTTCATAGAGGCACGATTGATGTTGATGGGTGTTCAGCAACGTCTATCAAACAGCCTGGATCAATGTCAAGAAGTCCCCTTTAAATACAGGGAGGTGGTTGTAGCTTTTGCGCTAGCACTCGCACGCACTCACGCTCTCGCACTCGCTTGTTCGGAATATAGTGGTTGTGTTCCCTTCTGCGAGCCTTTTTTCTCCAGCACTAGGTACTGGAGCTGGTTAGCGGCAGATACCACAGGTCGGCAAATCAGCAAATATAACATAAATACATTGGCAGCTTTGAACTTCATGGAGGGTCATTCTAATGTAAAAGCAAACTGAAGCTGAGGTTGCAGGTCCAGCTCCCTCCAAAGAGATTCGTGAACTGCTGACAACTCTCATCAGACAGCTATGGACCGCTACTCAGCTTCTTGGAACAGATTTTCTTCACTTACATGGTGAATTCGACACTGAACTTTTCCAACGCTTCGGATGTTGCAGACGATTCTAGCCGGAGGAAACCTTGCACCGGTACCCAAAAATTGATGTCAGTAAGTCACTGATTGACCGACGTCTTGATGAGGTGGACAAATGTCTTCTGGAAAAAAACCTGGACGGATTACGGTTGATGCCATTGGAGTAGGTGTTTTCCAGGACGGACAAACTTGACTTTTTGGCATGAAGAATATACACGCGCCTTTCCGGTTACAAGTGACAACAGTGAATAAGCTGAGAAGGTTAAAGAAACGAAATAAGCAAACGGCTAGTACCAAGCAAGATACCAAAAATGTCTGGACATAATGAGCTATGTTTTAGAGGAGAAAGCGCCCCAAATTTTCCACTTGGGAACGCAATTTTCTGACGTCATGGTCTTCTGAAAGAGGATACTAGTGCAACGGTGATACTACTGACAGGGAGGCACGCGAGTAGTATGTGTTGTTCGTGGAATCTCGCTTTGCGTCTTTTGAAAAGGGAAGATCTGTTGCGGAATTTGTAACATTTGCTTGGATTTGAGCGAGGAATGATTGGAGTCAATGAATCTCAAGGAAAGTTCAAAGAGCAGCGTTCAGGAGAAGATGGATGTCCAGTTTTTGTAAATAAGATGCAAATGAGAGTTTTGCTTCCCTGTCCAAAAGTCTGTAACCGGTCAGTTGGTATTTCCTAATAAATAACTCCGCAACAAAGGCCTTCTTTATTTAACTAGGAGTAAGAAAGAAATTCTGGCCAACCGTTTATGTAAGATCCTAGGTGACTCGGCCTTTTTCGTGCACACTGGATTGTTGAACAACTTTTTATTCACGAAGATATACTTTCCTTTATCATTTGTAGTCGTAAGGAAATCACAGTAATTAACTTGGTCGAAACGAGTTTTAGGTTTTTTGAAAAAAAAACCCTTAAACTACTTAAGGGCTAAGAACTGAATCTATCCCGATTTGCAGACGATGTACATTGAAAATATGGTGGTATGAAATAGGCAGGGAAATTCAGATGGGAACCTGTCTGTACACCGTGGTCGCTACAGTTGATGGAACAAATGAATCAGTCCACAAGTATGATGCGTGTCTGTCAAACGTAAGATTGTGACAACTGCCACTGTCCAGAATACTAATTGGAAAAGGTAACGTTTGTGACCCGACTTTTGTCCACTGCTGCTGCGTGTGGTGAGGAGAAGAGCCAAGATTGTGGACAATGTGTTTGCCGTGGATATAAAAGTTGGCACTGCTCACGGTTTCCTAGACTTGTTCGTCGTTGTCACTCGGTATGGAGGAAAACTGAGCAGATCTAATATCTAAAAGTGACGTTACTGCAAGTGGCGACAAAAATACTCATCAGGCCATGCGACTAATGCAAGACGCTTGGCAGAACAGCAAACAAATAAAGCGGTTCTGAAGGCCATAGCTTAAATACGAATATCTCGTGGAGTTCGAAGAATATTGAAAATAGTCGTAAGTATGTAGATAACTGATTGTCAAAGTTCGCGGATTGGTTAAAGATCAATTGATCTCAGCTGGTCGCGATATTCTGCCTTTATGCACATTCAATATTGCTTGCTCAGTGGTAGGACAAATTCGGCGTTCCATGTGCGTAGAGGTATGATATCTCAACACGTATTCAGTATTGTTCACAAGCTTTTTTCTTTTTCCCGTGTAGATTGTGGCGTTCGTATTGACGATAATTCTTCTCTGCTACATGTCCAACGATGATTCGTACACGAACCGCCAGCCCATGGTTTATACTGATGCTCCTCAACATCCGTATAATTTGCCGTACATGGCTGAACTAAAAGGACATACACGTTTTTGATTTTGCGTGCCAACATGGTTGTGAAAACATTTTCCATAATTTTGGCAAACACTGGTGAATTTTATTTTGGCCTTTTTAGGTTTTTGTTAGGATTTCATGTTGTTACCCATATTTTCTCGTGTGTTCTTGATTGGTGCAACCAATGGTTTGTAACTGGAGCGTGATTTTTCTTAAAAAAAAGGATCACTATTTAAAATGTGTACTAAATCGAGAGCTTGCGTTTTGGCCGACGCAAAACAATGTGTAGAGGCAGTGATCCAAAACTATTCCATTTAAATAGTAGTTGGAGGAAAGCTTCATGCTTTGATCTCTCTTGGCGAATGAGATATCCATGTTCCACGCTCACCTAATGTGATCTGACAAGGTAAGCACTGATATGAATTGAATCTGTTCACTGTGCAGCCAGATATCGGTAAATTTACGAAATGCAGTGAAGGGATCCAAACATTTCGTTGCAAGATTGCGAGAAATCCATAGGCAAAAGTCCATTCCTTATGATGGAACATCAGTACAAGCTGAGATTCGACACAAATAGATGCCTAGATGCTGAGCGTTACTATATTCTGTATATGTGCGGGTGAATTGTACTGTTCATCAACCGGTTGTCGCCGACAAATTCAACTGTCACCTACTTGCTGGTTTCGAGTTTGAATCTGTACGAGGATTCGTGGAAAGTGCGCTTCTGATTGTTCCTAGTAAGGATGAAAACGCTCCGGAGCATTTCCGCGTAGACCGGACACATTTCTCAGGTTCCTTGTGCCACGAAGAAGCGTGAAAATCTTGACCGAATGTTGACACATGTTGTTAAAATGTCCGCAACACAGTAACTGACCACAGATTGCCCTTATATTGGCTCAGATGGTTAGAGCACGAATTTACGGATTTGAGGGTCTGTGGTTCGAACCTGACCTCTGCCTCTCAACTTTCCCTGTATAGGTTTGGGCAACCTGGCAGTATCTCAGCCCTCCTGCTTGTTTCTGATGGCAGTTAGACACCGAAAGGTTGCTACGACTGAATGATTTTATAGTGTATCTGTCGGTGAATGTATTACAGAGCAAAGTGTTGTGGACCACAGTCGCCTTAGTGTATTTTATCACCGTAAACCGCAGTCTGAATCGCCGATTGATAGCCCAGTGCGCTTGGCCAAACCAGAAAAAGTCAATGAACGTGCGAACAGGCTTATCTATTGATCACTGTGGAGAACAAGTGGGTCAAAAAGTGATAATAAGAATACGACACATCTGTCAAGGACGAGTGAAGAACAACCAATGAAAGCTCTCTCACCGAAAACGGTTATTCCATTGGCTGTTATGTTACATTCGGAGCTGATTCCCTGATACAAAGCTAGTAAAAACTGAGTGGAACCCACCCACTACTGATGGACGGTGGATTTCGCTGGGATGTGAGATAGGTACAGACATAAACATGTTCCGTTTTGCCCGCTTGTTACTAAGTCAGACTACAGGGAAAACACATTAGTCGGGTAGAGGTGCTAAGGTGCCGATCAATAGTCAAGATTTAAGTCCATCTATACCATCTCTAACATTACCATTTTTAAAAGCGGTTGATCCAAGAAGTGATCATTTGATTGCCACAGTATTTCTATTCCTACACTTTAATCACATATTGCTGTCTTGTAGACAGTCATTCAAAACCTGGAATAGCAATTCAAGCAACAATTTTGCAAACATTATAAGTTTCAGAACTATGAATCATGGACATCTTGTTGCATTCCACGGTCAAAATATTGACCGCAGCAGAATCTACCTTTCATCTCCGGGCTGCACCGCACAAATTTAAGAAACCTTGATCCTGACACCCTAGCACACGTTCGGTTGAACGACACATAGGAACGTTTGCCGTAGGCGTTGTCAAAGGCCTCGTTTATCAGCTTGACTTTATGCTTGGAGTAACTCTTCAATCATGGGTGCAGAAGTAGGGTGTTGTCAGGTGTAGCCCTACAGAATCCCCCAATTCATTTCAAGGAGTGGAACGCACCCTGATCAACCGATATAAGATTGAATCGACTGCCATAAGGTTGCTGCACGTTCTGCGGGAATCGAAATTGCGCCACTACCAAGAGTGCTTTGTAGGAACATGTCAAAACGAAATAATTTGCAAGTGATTTTGAGAAAAAGAGCTAAAAGTCGGTCAGTTGTACAGACACTTCAGAAAACGCCCTGTAATTTCCAACCAAGGATAGAGGAGCTCGTGAAATGTGTTACCCAAAATTAAACAACATATTTGTTCTTTACTATGACTAAGAACTCCGTGGCTCTGAATAACCCGACTCATCTAAAAGCTTTATCTACAATCCCAGGTATGTACTCACTAAGATAAGTAAATCGATTGCATTCACATACACCATGTTGACGCTGGCTAAAAGATATGATCTTTGGGAACGGAGCTTTAGAAATCAAACAGCACTGCATCTACTTAGTGAGGCTCAATTATCAAATTAGACTACCCCTGTGCATGCAACAAATTATTCTTTTGAATGAGCATTTGTGCCTGCTTGTGGCGCACAAATGATCGACACCTTTGTGAAGATTCCTGTAACGTTATGCGCAATAATTGTTTTTGGTCAGCAGATACAAAATTGTCGACATTCTTCCAGTAGGCTGTGCTGCTGATCATCCCATGCGTTTCAGACGTACAAGGCGTCTAACCTAAGCGCTGACAGCTTATTGGAGAAGGATATAGCTGTTTCTTGGCAACGTTCATGTAATGCATGGCGAACGTCGTTCAAGACGGTCGTTAATGGGTGAAGGATCTGCCGCTCTAACGAAATCATGCCCAACCACAATCAACTCTAACCTTCAAGCTCTGGAACATTGGAGAGTAAATGTCATCAAAAATGCTTTGACTTATTAGTGTAATTTCCACGAGGCTATATCATTATCCGTAAACAGAGACGCATTCACGAAGAGAGCAGCTTACTGGGCCGGATAAACGTAGGCTATTTCATACAATAATTGTTTTTGGTCAGCAGATACAAAATTGTCGACATTCTTCCAGTAGGCTGTGTTGCCGATCATCCCATGCGTTTCAAACGGTCTTCTCCAAATGGGGGGGGGCGCAATTTGAACGAAATTTGAGTAAGGCAATATTCGGGAGGTGCACTTTCTCTTTTGGGAAAGTGCAAATAGAAAAACACAGCGAAAAATTGGAGGTTAGGTGCATTCCACTGACCAATTTTCCCTTAAATTTACGTTGTTCACAACGATACAACGATCACCTAGATTTTCACCACTTCCACAGAAAGATGCCAAACTAGTTAGGTGAAGCCAGTGAATAAGGGAGCCAGAAGCATAGATGGAAAAGCAGGAGTGCAATACAATCTAGCCAGACGTGGGTGGCACAGTAGTCTCGTTGTCGCCATCGCTGAAATTAGTTCATCAGTAGTACATATCGTTGCTTAACTTTCATGCACTCTCGGAGAAGAAAGTTAGTAAGCAGTGCGAATAAAATAAACGGGTGCGGACTCAATTCGAAGGAGACCAGTATACACAAGTGTTTCTCGATTTTTCAGCGTAGACTGACTTCATCTTCAGGATGAAATCTCAATTGACAATTACATCTGTATGGACAGTGCTGGCAGCTTGAACGGACGTTTTTTAAACGGAACAGGCATCCTCATCGACCACTTACATTACAAAAATATTGAAATAAATTGCCTTTTTCTTCTATAACAATTTGGAGGCGGTATGAGATGTGAGAACAGCATGTTTAACTTCGAGCGTCACTCGTGCACACTCCTCTTAAATTCTTGCTCTTAGCTTCACCAAATTCATCGATTTACTTTCGTGATCAACGCGAGCCTTGATTGTTCTCCAAAATCAATGATCCAGAGGTGTGAGGTCGGGTTACCTTGCGCGCCAAAAGTTTGGAACTCCACCAGCAATGACTCCCCCATCGGTAAATTGCTCTCAGAGGTAAGTTCTCACTTGGTTTGAGTAGTGGGGTGTAGTGTCATCATGAAAGACGGTCGATGACTTCTCGTGCTGCTTGAGTTGCGGGATAACGTGCGTCTGCATCATATAGCGGTAACTTTCGCCGGAAGTTGTAGCATCAAAGAAAAAGGGACGTAGAAGAAACTTTGAGGGGAATCCCATCCGCACACAAGAATGGGGGGAATGGAGATTATGGGTAAGGTACTCATGAGCAGGTTCATGGGACCATGTCACGCAATTGTGCTTGTTGATTATGCCATCCACAGGAAAATTTGCTCTATCGCTCCATAAAATGTTGGGAACGATTTCTTCATTGTCCAGGAGCCAGTTAGCGAACGAGACATGTTGCCCCTTGTCTTCGTTTGTGATGTTTTGTAATGAAGTGAAATGATACGCGTAGAGATGAAGGT